TCCAGGACACATGTTTTCGCGCATCCCAGGACACGCCGAGCATATTCCATGCACGCCTTCCAGCAGACGGTGACGTCGGAGCAGCGTGCAGACAGCAGACATCCCAGCACGCAGACCAGCAGACGGAGAGAGGACACACCCTGGCGTTCACATTCCAGGACACATGCCTTCCCTCGTCCCAGGGCGCGTCCAACACATTCCAAGCACGCATTCCAGTCCAGCACATTCCAAGCACTCATTCCGGCAGACGGAGACAGGACACACCCCGGCATTCACAGTCCAGGACACATCTCTTCGCGCATCCCAGTGCACGTCCAGCACATTCCAGGCACGGTCGGTCGAAATAATGCATTGCGAGATCATCGGTAGGTATGGTAATAATTGCATGGATTACATTTGCCCTCCGCAGCACATTTCGATCCCTAGGTGGCTCCCGAATGGCCCACGACCTCTCCGAGACGGTTGCAAAATGGCCCCAGCCCATTGCAGGACGGCCCAAAACGCCACCAAAGGGCCAAAGATCCCTCACCAAAAAACCCAGTCAACCCAAATACCCCCCCCCAAAAAAAAACGCCCGAAGAGGCCTTGAGCAATCGTCAGAAAAGGCCAGCATCCGTTAAGCAATGCAAGGATATCAAACTGTGTTGCGTCTGATGCTGCTTCGGCCTCGGATCGCCTATAGGGAAACACTCAGGGACCCAACAGGATCCTCCAAGACGGCCCAATGCGATCCCAAGATGGCCACCATCCGGCCCCAACACTGCCCAACGTCTTCCTCCCGCGGTGCTGGACCGCCCCTGCGCCCCGGCGTTCGCAGGCTGCCCCAGGAGGAGGGCTTCTTCTAGAGGAGGAGGGGGGAGGAGGAGGAGGAGGAGGAGGAGGAGGAGGAGGAGGAGGAGGAGGAGGAGGAGGAGGAGGAGGAGGAGGAGGAAGAGGAGGAGGAGGAGGAGGAGCTCAATCGGACCGTCGCGCTGACTCCCGGCCCCAGACCACCGACCGACCGACGGACGGCCTCCCGACCAGGCCCCATAAGAGGACTTCGCGAAGAGCCAGATCAATCCCCAAGGAGCTCCATGCCTGCTGTCAGGCGGGAGGACCGGGGGAGGCGGAGGGAGGAATGAGAAGACGCATCACAAGGATGAGGACAAGGAGGGGATTAAGACACCGATCCAAATAGGGCAATGAGCTGGAGCGGGTGGCGAGGTTTGCCACAAGGGGGGTTTGCTGCAAGCCTCACAATGTCTGCCTGCTCCGTTGGAGCAGCCTCATTGCACCCGTCGAACCAATGAAGGGGGTCGTGCCTGCGCGCAGCAAGTTGCAACCTCTTGCCAAAATCCTCAAGATTCCAATTGGCAAATTATGGCCCGAGCTGACCACAAGGTCCCAGCATGACTATGATCCCGCAAGGCTTGTACATGAGTGCACGGCACCGCATATAGATGTGCCCACTCCTGACTTCATGATAGGTCCCCCTGATCTCCCTCTCATCGGGCCTTTCTGTAACAGCCTTGCCCTGCCCTCCCTGGCCCCATCTCATCACTGTCCCATATCATCCCCCCACTCCCGTTGTTCCAATGGCATGCTCTCCCATCAGGCCCCTAACTCCCAATATCGCGCCGCTCCCAAACTTCACAAATGGCAGACTCGCTCATCTATTTTCCGGGACTGGCCGTCTGAGGGTTTTCCTTCCGACCCGATGTTTCATTCCAGCCGAAGTCCAGCCAAAGCTTCGCTGGAGTTGGCTTGTCTACGTAGGAGAGCGTGTGATTATCCGTGGCCGTAACAGGTGTTGTAAAGGAGGGACGGAGGGGGCTGTGGCGCAACGCCTCCCTGGACTGCGCCCCGAGCACCGGCGGAGCGCTCGCGCTCAAATTAGCCCTGCAGCAGGGTGCCGGCATGGCGCCGGTTCGCACCGCAGTATGCCCGCCAGCACCACGCGTGATTGCGACCACCGAGCGGCGAGGAGAGGGAAGACAAACCCTGACATAACCAGAACAGCCTTGCGAGCGCCATAGTGCGCAATAGCACATATACCGCATTCAACTGATTCCAATTACCCGATCGCACGATCGCAGCAGGCTGCGAGTACCGTTCCGCCGTACATGGCCAGCGCCACAATGGTACCACGCACGATGTGCGCCAAACTGATGCACACTGTAGCGCCACACTAGCATGCAGGCGCCGAAGTATGGTTGCGAGACCAACGAACTTCTCATGAGGACCCCATTAGCTTGCGAGCACTGCGACGCGCCTTGGAGCACCCCAGTGCACTTGCGATGAGCAACATCCCTGCCAGGGCCACTAGTATGTAAGGGGATCGCTGGACCCTGCAAGTGTCACCATCGCCTGCTGGAGAGGATGACGACTACGACTACGACGAGAAAGAGGAGGAAAGAAACAAGAAGAGCTTAATCAGAGGAGCCAGAAGAAAAGGAGGAGAAGAGGAGGACGATGAGGGCGGGGACAAGCACGACGACGACGACGACGAAAACATCGGCGACGACGAGGACCACGAAAAAGACGACGAGCACGACGACGGGGATGTGGGCAACGACGAGGACCACGAGGACGACGACCAGGACGACGACCAGGACGATGAGGAAGAACAGGATGAGGCGGATGGTATCGAGAAGGAGGATAACGAGAAGGAGGAGCAGGAGGGAGAGGAGAGGGAGAAGGAGGACGATAATAATGATGACCACGAGAAGTTTGAAGACCAACGTAGCCTGCGAGCACCACGGTAGCCTGTGATCATCGCAGCGGCTTGCGGATTTCTTGGATTAGCGCCGGGCCCCACCCTGGCGCGCAGAGTGTGCCACGGGCGGCGGCCGAGGCGCCGACAGGGGGGTCCAGCGCAGATCCAACCAATCAGCGCGGACCGTCGAAAGTTTCTGTTTATGCATTTGTTCTCCGTCGGTTGCCAACCTCCTGTGAGGTTGCATATGGCGTGTGGCCTCTGGCCCTCAACAGAGCGGCAGCTCAGTGCCGCGCTGACATGGCGGCAGAGCGTGCCGCAGGCAGCTGGCAGTTGCCTCGGACCATGGCCCAAGGACTACGGGCCACAACCCACCGATTCCGCTCGGGAGCTGTTTCTGCGGTCACGTCGGGGGTTGCTCATGGTGCCCCTGGCCCGAGGTGCCTCCAGCTTCTCGCCTCCATTCTGGAGCCCCTGGGTGCTCTGGAGGCAGTCGGGGCTCTCTCTGGACCTCCTGCGGGCACCTTCGGCCAGGGGCACTTTTAGCAACACCCGAACTTCTTCGTTCACGGCACATCGCCGCCGCGGCCGCCGGACCTAATGCCGCGGGGAACCAGTTCTGGTAGACCGATCACTCGGTCTTCAAAATTCTACGCGGCCACGGACGCTCGGGCAACCAGTTCAGTCTGACCAGTTTCCGTGGCCGCCAGACAATGGGCCACTGGTCCCAAGCCGCGGGACCTGATTCCAAGGACACTGCTCCCATTGCCGAAGACCCTCTCTTGCATCAGTGCCTCATTCATACGCAGCCGTCGAGGGAGTGCAGAACCCTGCGTCTACCAGCCGCGCAAGTGAATATGATCTGGACGGCTCGGAGTTTCTGGCCTGGGGCCCCAGGACGATGACATATGCCACGCAAGAACGAAACCCACGTATGTTCCAGGCCCCCTCCTGAATATCACATCGGTGCCAGCTCAACCACAGCCGCCTCGGCGCTTGCCCCTCGGCCAACCTCCATTCTGCACCAGGCTGTCCAAAGATATCATCATCAAGTCCTAATGGAGTCCTGTCCCTCATGATCTTCTCTGCCTGCGACCCTCTTACACGTGACTCAAGATCAACATTCCCACTTTGGTTCGGGAAGCGGCTGGCTGCGACCCTCTGGAGTCTGACTCGGCCGAAGCTTTTGGGGGTAAGGTAGGGACCCGAGGCTTCTCAGGCCCCTCCGCAGGTCCATACCTGGGACGCACCTCAAGCATATGATACGGGCGCAGCGGAAGCTCAGAAGGGGCTTCGTCACTTTTCCGAGGCGCCCTGTGGCAAAGCATTGACGGTAAACCGCCTTTCCCGCCACACACACACACAGCCACAGACATACAAACACACTTGTTGCGGCCACGCGCGCAGAGGCGCGGCGTAAGAAATCGGGCGAAGGGATTTGCGCGTCCGGCCCAAATCACGTGGCGTGGAGATGCTGGATCCGCCCCTGGGAGACTAACAGCACCAATTGCCAGGGGGCAGTGGCGAGGGGAACGGCGGGGGATGGGGGGAGACGAGGGGAGAAAGGGAAACGACGCGGCAGGAGCAAACCGCAGTCCCGGCAGCTAGGAGGGGGCGCAGTGGGGCCTGCAACAAACTCACACACAGCCACAACAACACACACACACACACTTGTTTGCGGCCGCGGCGTCGCGCGCAGAGACGAGGCGGAGACTGTGTGTCCACGCGCACACAATCACACTTTGATGGCTCCCGCAGCTGTGCCCCTGTACTTCTCCCCTCGGCGTCCCCCCCTCCTCACCTTCACCTTGCCGCGGGTGTCCCAAGCCCTCCCTGCGATTCTACTCCGAATGCGCACCTCCCTTCTCCAGGCCTCTCTCGCTCAACCTTCCTCTCCTGATTTATGTTGTTTCTATCGTACTTAAGGACCACATCCCAGAAATATGGTCGAGCAACAGAAAAAGTATCGAAAAAGTGCCTGCCCGACACGCTAGCCAAGTGTCGAACGAGTGTCGCCTCCCAGGGCCCAGCTTGCCAGAAACGTTTGCGCTTTTTTTCTGCCCGCAATTCTTTCTGGTGGTCAGGCGTAGAGGAAGGTAGGGTGGAACATTACGACTCCTGATACCAACCCGCATCTCTCCCCTCCCACATCCCTCCCCCCGCACGTGTACTGCGTGTGATGTCCATCTCCGAGGTGACTCTGCCAGAGATCGCCCCCAAAGAAGAATGATACAGCCAAAGCGGAGGCGGCCGACTGGCAGGAAAGACGTGTACCCCACATCACTTTTGTTCTGGTGCCGCGCACCTGGCGTCAATCATAGTGCATGCGTCCGTGCCGTCGCCGTAAGTCATGAGGTCCTCAGGGCTCCAGGGGAGGACGGATAGGTCGAGCAACAGGCGACAGCGAAGGAGAACGATAATGAGGTGCGAAGGGGGAGAACCAGAACACCTCGAACAGGTGACGATTGACATGCAGCCGTGTATCTGCATGGGAGAAGGAACATGCAACGGACATGCTATACACGGATGTTTCGTGCCTCCTGGGTACTGACGCGGTCACCAACGCAACGAGATGTGAGCGAAGCCGGGGAGGTCGACCGCAATCTGGCTGCTCGGCGAGAAGAGTCTGCGAGGAGATCTAATCGGCTGTGTTATCACCTTCGCAGCTAGCAGCGCACCCTCGTCGGCAGCGGTGGCCCCACTTTACGTGCTCGTTGTAGGAACCTTCCCGAAGCCACTCGTTCCACGCATGCGTCGATACTGCGTCGAACGACTGGCGACCTGAGCCGAATTTGAGTCGACCTTGAATCGATCTAGAATCGAACTGGAGTCGAGAAAGAGTCGAACAGGTCCGTTAGGAGGGCCCAAAGGAGGTCCGCAAGACGAACACCTGACCCTCTCGTGGTCGTGGACAACCGCGCTACCGACGCCCTGCGCGGCACGCCCACCATAGGACCCTCGCCGCAGCGCGCGGGCAACTCGTGCACAACCGGCCGACGAGCGTCCGTCAGGGCGCCCTGGGTCCTCCACCCGCGCCGCGCCCGCCGCGCGCGACCGCGCGGACGCGCGGCCAGGCTCCACGAAAGGCCCGCCGCCGCCCACCCAGGTTAGAAGGCAACTCACGGAAGCGTTTGGCCGTCCTCACGGCGCCCAGTAGCAAACAACGCAAACGCAACACATCTCCCTCACATGGTGCCGTCGGGCGCTGCGAGGCGCATGTTTTTCGGCGCTGCTTGAACACTATTCTGCGCTACTGGGCGCTGGCTGGCGCTACTGAGCGCTATTTCGACGATCTGCTTTCACTGCAAGAGGAGCGGACGCTTCCGTGACTCGCTGTCCAATCCAATGGCGCCCCGCCGAAAAGCGCATCGCAATGCGGCCGCTACAGCTCGCTGCGGCCCCGGCCGGGCTCGCCCTCGCCCCCGCCGGCTCGCTGCGGCCCACGGGGGAGCTGCAGCAGACGGGGGAGCTCCAGCTGCAGCCTGTGCAGCAGCCACCAGGGGCTCCAGGGGCACGCCACCAGCAGGCCGAACGGCACGCCCTGGTAGGAGTCGTTCCGGATGTGCTCCTCTAGGGATACCAGGCTACTACCTGGACTTCTCCAGGGGTGCATGCTGACCAGAATTTCGAAGCGAATCCAGCCGTGGCGACGAGGGCTTCTCAGGAGGCCCGAGAAGGCGACAACGCAAGGAGGGCAGCTGCATCGGTACGGCAAGTTCGTGTCGTGACGACTTCGGCGTTGTTAATGACACCGCACGGATCGATCAACCCTGAACGATCGATGCTCTCCGACTGCGCAACGTCCGCCGATCCCGGAGCGACTGGCGGCGCTCGACCTCGAACGCCCACGCGGGGGTCGCCGCGACGTCAACACGACACGAAGCAACCGTACCTGTTCCTCCTCCGAGCTCCTCCGCCCGGGAGACGAGCTCCACCACGTCCCTCAGGGCAGCCTCTGGGGAAATCCAAGGTACCGCTACCGCCACTCCCCAGACCTCCCCCGGGGTGCATTCTGATCCAGCTCTGGCGACGAAGGCCGCCCAGGAGGCCAAAAAACAAGAAAACGGCGGAAGCGGAAACCAAAGTTACCACTACCACTACTCCCCAGACCTCCCCTGGGGTGCGCCGCAACGAAGATTTCAGGGCGATTCCAGCGGTGGCAACGAGAGCCGCCCAAGAGGCCCAAAAAGGGAAAAGCGGCCGAAGCCGAAGGGTAGCAGTATGGGTACCTGTTCCTCCTCTGAGCCTCTCGCGAGGCGCCCCTGCCAGAGGGCGTGGACTGCGCGCGCGCGAGGGCAAAGACCAGCAGCGCAGCCGACAAGGCGGGCAGGCACGGCTCGGGCGCTGCGGCCTGCGTGCTCGTGTAGGCTGCCACGGCCAGCGCGAGCGGAGCTCGCCAGCCAGTCGGGCTCTCGCGCCCACGGCCGATCTCGTTCGAGGAAGAACAGGAAGTGAATCAACACACACACTTGCGCAGGTCCGCACGGATTTCTTGGATCGGCGCTGGGGCCCCAAGGCGGCGCCTCTGGCGCCGTCCCTGGCGCGCTACGCGCGCCAGGGAAGGGGGTCCAGCGCCAACGCAAGGAATCCGCGCGGGCCTCCGCAAGATTATCCATCGGTCGGAAGAAGTAGGTAGAAACATGAAGTAGGAAGGCGGATAGAGTAGACTGGGTTCGGGCCCGCCCAGAGAGCAACAACACGCAGCAAAAGCAGATCGACTCTTAAAGTAGGAAGACGCTTGAAGTAGATTGGGTTCTGGGAACCCGGAAATGTCAGATTTCCACGACGAATGGGTATGTTTATGCCATTTGTTGTTCCTCGACTCGTGGAGCAGAGTCGTGGCGCTGGGGTCGGCGCAGGCGGATCGTGCCGGCTGCTCGGGGAAGTACTCGAAGGACTCTGGGGAGCCAAACCAGGCACGGTACTGCGGCGTGGAGAGCCCATCCAGGATGCCGAAGATGGGGAAGCCAGATCGCAGCGTGTCATAGAAGGAGACGTTCAGAACCAACAGGTTGTGGTCAGAACTCAACACCCGCGCCATGTTGCGGAACTTCGGCATCACGACTGGCAACAGATACGCTGAGGTCGAGGTGACGCCAAGGACACATGTGTCCGGCTCCTCCTTCTGGATCGTCATGGCGGTTTGGAACAGCCACGGGTCCTGCGTTGGGTGTCCTAGATGCTGGTGCATCCGTTCTTTGACAGCGTGCCATGGCAGCGCGGGGTTGGACACCATGCGCGTCTGTGGGCCCACGCACTCCAAATCCTTCATTGGAAACGTTGTTCCAGACTCGTTGACGTACCCTGGCTGCCACTCCTCTTGAGTGATCTTGGCCCATGCGTCGTCTTCCGGCGGATTCTCCGCGAGGCCCACTGGGCCCTCGCCACCAGACAGCGCGAGGACAATGAACACGACGGCGACCACTGGAGTCAAGCCGGCGCGCATTAGCGCCAGCTTGCGCAGGCGGCGCGCAGGACCCCTGAGCCCAAATGGCTACTGAGGAAAATACAGCCGAACATCTGATCAAGAACATCCTGATTTCAGAAACTTGGGCCATCTTCCCAGAAGTCACTTCAGACACACATGGGCCAACGTTTTGTTTAACGATGGAGGGACACACGTGCTCAAGCAACTGGGCCAGCTTTCCAGCACGGTGGTTAAGAAACGCTGGCCCAGCTGTGCGGGAGGAGGTGTCTCAATCATATGTTCGACCGTACTGCCTGTCAATTCTGCCATGACGTGGTCAAAAGACGGGGCTTGGGCGCTCGATAAATGAAAGGGGGAGAGAAAGATGCACTTCACGGGCCCTGAAGGCCTTCTTTTGGGGGCGGAAGGGCTTCTTTGGGGGCCCCGAAGGGCCCCTGCCCTGCAGCCCTCGCTGCCCCCCCCACATGGTCGCCCCCCTGATACGCGACCCACAGTGGGCGCCGCTCACTCGGGGGCCAGAGTTGCACGAGCGGTGCAACTCTCCAATGCCCGAGCGGCCAGGAAGGTGCCCCTCCCCAGGGGTCCAGCTCTCAGCGGGCGCTGCCCTCTGGGTGCCGTGCCCTCTGCGAGGTCCGAACGCATGGCCCCCTTGGAGGCTGAGGGCCTCCTCCTCCTCCTCCTCCTCCGCCTCCTCCTCCTCATCATCATCATGAACGTCCGTGGTTCATTGCGCTCGTGTGGTGTGTGCCTTGCGCGCGCAGCCGAAGACTGTGGCCCCACTGAATCGGATCCTGCGGGGAGTGGGCCCTCGACCTCGACCGGGGGAACACAAGACTTCAGCCTGTGTCGAGTTCTGGTCGGTCAAAAGTCCCGGGATTGGGGAAACCAAAGGGACCGCTACCGCTACTCCCTTGACTTCTCCTGGGGTACGTTCTGACTAGGAGTTCGAGGCGAATCCAGCGGTGGTGACCAGGACTACCAGGAAGCAGGAACGCGGGAAAACAGGGGGAATGGAAGTGGTAAGGGTCCCCTGTCCTCCTCAGAATGATTGGACCCGATGGGCCGAACATGGCGCCAAAGCTCGGGACCCCTATCCACCCCTGGCTGCATGGCGGATACCTTGTTCCTGCGCGTGCCCCCTCCGCGTTATCCTGCCGTGGCGTCCCGCGGTGTCCAGTGGTGTCCCTACGCCACGAAACTATGTACACAGACACCCTCCGACGAACTTTGCGCATACTTTCAGGAAGGGTGCCCGCATATCAAGCCGCTGGCTCCAAATGATGATGTATGCACCGCCACCCTCCCCAGAGACCCAGGAACAATCCTTGGAGGGTGGTGTCTGTGTGATTTTGTTCGCGGTTGAGTCCCTGTGCGTCGTCGTCCGTCGGCGTCGTCGATGTCCGTCGGCGTCGTCCGTCGTCGTCGTCGTCGTCGTCGTCGCCTCCGCTGCGCCAGGGCGTCCGCGAATACTGCCCCGGCAAGGCGCGCTGTCCGCGGAACCCGGGAGAGAGGTGCGGGGCTGTAGGCCAGGTGCCCGATAACGAAAGATGAGGTCGGAAGCAGACGCTGATGCCCCAGAGTGTCCCACCGTGTCCTTGGTGCCCGCCGAGGGTAAGGCGAAGCCAGAACGAGGGTAGCATCGGGTGAAGATACATCGAGGATCTCTGAGATCCCGCGGCTCTTGAGGGTGTCTTGGGCGTAGCGGCCTTCTCAGAGAGTTCCGGGACGCTCTCCGAGCGTTCCCGAACGCTCTGGAACGGATTTATCTGCGTGCAAGACTCATGTCCGTATCCAGTGCCTCTTGGACTTTTTTGGAAGCGGCGTCACAAGGCCGAAGCGCACTGGGTATGGATAAAATTCGAGCCTCTAGGGGGCAACTTTCGCCATATCCAGTGCGCCTCGGATTTCTTGGGAAGGGAGCCCGAAACTCCATACTGCAGTGGATATATACAGAAGTATTGCCCGCATTATCCTCGTCCTAGCCCCGTCCGAGCAGGTCATCCGTGGCGTCCCATGGTACGCTGTGATGCCTCGTAGCGGCGGCGCTCCGACTTCCGCAGCAAGCGCTCGCGAGGCAGCCTGGCCGGGTCTGTAGCTTTCCAGGAGGTTGCAACTTCGCTCCTCCAATTTCGCTTCCATGCGCACCTGCTCGGCCTCTTGACGGCGCCAAGACGGGCAAGAACCGCTCCACAGCGGATGCAAGATGCTGGACGGCCAGTCCGAGACAGACCAGCCCGAAAGGGCCGAAGGGGCCCCAGGATGCCCCCAAGGCGGCCTCCTGCGAGACTCGGGGAGGCCGATTGGACGTATCTCCATCTTTACCAGTATCTATGATAAATACACATATATATATGCACAATAAAGAATATATGTTCTTGGTGTCCGAGGACGGCAAACATGCGTTGCACCCCACGAAGGAGCGAACACGTAGTGAGCAAGCACAGCAGTGACACTTTTGCAACACACCTGCACATGTGTGACGGATTCAGAAAGCCCCTCGCCCGCATGCGCATGCACGTGTCCAGCCATAGAGCAAAAGACACAACCGAACATATAACTACGAACTTTCGGAAATCCGCATGGAATTCTTGGGTCGGCACTGGACTCCCGTGGAGGTCTTCCCTGGAGCACGGAGAACGCCAAGGGGGGCCCCAGAGCCAAGCCACGAAGTCCGAGCGGACCTTCGACAAATCAATGTGCATGCCGCTATCCGGCTTCAAAGCTAAAGCGTCACTCGATCCCACAGGCATGACTTCACAGAGCGTTTACCTCTCGTGCCATGCAGGGAGACTGAGAGAACAGAGGATATCGCTGCAGCCCGATGTGAGCCCGATACGTCCAGCCGCGCTGAGACATGCAGGACAAGGCGGACGCATCACGTGACTTCGAGGATGCGGACGAGGGGGTAGACAAGAAGGGTCAACAAAAAAGGAGCGAAAAGATGATGACAAGAAGGGGAGGCCCACCACAAGCTTGACATACACAGCTTGCACAAAAGATCCGGGAACGAATGCGAGGAGGTCCTCCGGGCTTCCGCTGCAGGCGACCCACGTTGTCGCGGTGCACCTGCGTTGTCGCGAGCGGCTCTGTAAATGGAGGCAGCTAAACCCGCTCTGCAAACAGAGATTCGCGCGGATTGCTTGGATCTTCGCTGGGCCGCCCTCTCTGGCGCGCGGAGCGCGACAGGATATGCGCTGGAGGCGCCGCCAGGAGGGCAGGCACAGCGCAGATCCAAGAATCCCGCGCGGAGATTGGAGCGCTTATGGCTCTGTCGTTCGTGCTTCGTCGAGCAGATCGAACACGCTGACAGTGCGAGCACCCCCCTGGAGCTCTAACGAGGGCCGCAGGGGCGTGCCAGCGGCGTCGGAGGGAGGGAACGTCCGCTCCCAACACACGAGGCGGAGGCCAGGCAACATCACGGGGCATCTCGACTCGGAATGCGCACCACGTGGGAGCTCTTGTGACCCTGAGGTTACCCAGCCCACGAGCGCTGTGAGGCGGGGATTTCTACATATCCACCGCCTGGCAAGACGAAGTCCTCGGGCCCCAGCGGGCGAGGGATGTTGATACATTTGGGCCCCACAGGAGTACGAATACATCCACATCCACATCCACCCACCCCCCGACGGTGCAAAAACCATTGGAGATTATGACCGCTCCCCCGTTTTCCATCTGAAGAGGGGGTGGGCTCAGCATTCGCCTATTCTCCGAGCGTGCAAGAGAAGGCGCCAAGACACCGACAATGCTGGAGGCGTGGGTCGGGTCCCACCAAGACGCGTCGTCCTAGTCTTCCTTATTCTCGTTTTCCTCGTCCTGCGTGGTTGCTCCTCCTTCTCCTCCTCCCTCCTTCCCTCCTCGTCAACGTCCTTCCTTCTTGTCCTTCTGGCCCCACGAAAGCACAGGAGTTCCCAAGAGAACGATGAAACTTCCAGGCCTCGGGACACGCCAAGAATATCTCCATTCCCCCCCAAAGCCATAACAAAATCTGGGCAGCAGAGCCGGGAAGCCGAGGAGGGCACCAGGAGGCCCCAGGCATCCCCAGGATGCCCCTGGAGGTACCGGGCGGTTCAAGACAGCCCTCTGAGACGCCACGAGGACCCATGGTAAAGCCCAAGGGGGGCTCAGGATGCCGAAAGAAGCCACAAGACGGCATCAAGCATGGTATGACACATTCGTTCTGAGATTTGAGACAAATGTGCGAACACTGATCTTCACTCATAGCCAGACCCACCGATAGTCTGCATCATGTACGCAGACCAGTGCCCACACGGGAAAATTTAGACTAAACCGCTCAAATACAGACGCACTCAATATCAGACTCGCCCGTCCGCAGGCAAGCTCATGCTCAAACCCAGTCAGAGTTCGCCACTCACACTCAGAGTCTCGTTCGTAATACTCACCCACACCAACTATCACACATACCTTCTCGTGCATATCCCGACCTACCCACACCCCAACAAATCCCACCCAGGCGCGCTCGTGTTCATACCTACTCATAATCAGGTACCCTCAGGCCGACCCATACCCTCCCACTCATATTCGGCCAGGTTTTTCACCAACAACCACTCGTACTCACAACCCATCCTCAGGCTCGCGCGTACTCATAATCATGCATTGTCAGATCCGCTGACACTCGGACCAACTCATAAGCACACCCGATCATACTATGTCGCTCGCACCCAGCCAACAATATTTAGACGCGCTCGAACTGAGACTCCCTCACGCAACCACTCACAAGTGTTGTCAATCATATTCAGCACCGCTTCTGTATAGTCTCATCCGATCGTGTTCTGAATTGCACAACCCTGACACACTCATGACAAACACCACTTGCAATTCATCACGTTCGTTCCCAGACCCACCCATACTCAGACTGGCTCGTCGTACGCAGAACCTCTCACGCCTGGCCACTCATGCCCATACGAGCTTACATGCACACGCACAAACACCTGTGCCCAGATATTCATACCAGTCAATTATCACGCTTCGGACCGCTCGTACTCAAACACTCATCCAGGTAAGCGCTAGACAAGGGAACCACATGTGTGTGGCGCCGCCCCGAACCATTTTGAGTAACGCCTTACCGCCAGAGCAGTCGAAGAAGGGCAGGGATACATCTGCCAGAAGTGGCAGAACACTGGACTGACAGAACTTGGGCATCCCTCCGAAGACTCGGGATGAGTGATGTGTGCGGAAGCATGTCCAATCGAACACCTGAACTAGAGACATCATCATCATGCGGCACCTTATACGGACACAAATTCGGTGGATGTCAAATTCAGCCATTGTCAACTTGGTTCCCGGCCACTAGCCCTCCTCCTCCTCCGCCGCACTCGTCCTCCTCCTCCTCCTCCTCCTACCCTCGTCCGCTCCTTCTCCCCCCTGTCGCATATTCCTCCTCGGTTTCTTCTCCCTCCTCCAACGTCCATCTCCTCCATCTGTTTCGTCCTTCTTCCTCAACCGCCTCCTCCCTACCTGCTCTCAATATTATGTGTCCTCTTCCTCCTCTTCCTTATTCACGTCTTCTCCTCTTCCTCCTCCTCCTCCTCCTCCTCCTTTCTACTTCCTCGTCTTCCCTGCTTCTCCCTCCCAACCGTCCCCTCATCATCACTCCCACTACTCACCCCTCCTCCCGTAGGAGGACGACGAATACTGGAAGATGTGGACTGGAAGGGAAGGGGGGGGGAGGCAGAGAAGAGGAAGAAGAGGATACAGATCTCAACACATACGTCGGAAGGTAAACAGGGCCATGCACGATGATTGCGCGAGAGGGGCAGGACACTCCATGGAGCAAGTCAGCGCAGGTCAAGACATGTGAGCGCAGGTCAAAGCAGAACTCGCCGCAAGCCAGCGCAGGCAGATCGGCTCTGACAAGCTCCCATCCAGAATGGTTCTCCGCTTTCCCCGAATGCGCTAAACCGACCAATAGCACGCATCCTCCTACTTCCCCTGTCCCCCCGTCCCGACCGGCATGATGTTTGAACTCATTGGAATCGCAACTCTCCCCTCCACGCCGTCGTCTGAACTTGCTCGTCTGGGACGTCTCGGCTTCACTCGCCAATATGCCCTACCCTGAACGGTAAAATGGCGAAAGCAGCCGCGAGACCCGTACGAGTGAAGAATCTGGCATCCTGCCATGGCATTGCAGGTCGCCTCCGCCTGGGCAGTGTAGCGGGCAAGTCTTACGACTGGGAACAAGCGGGCAAGGGGGATCACATCCGACAAAAAAACTGACGCCTGTCTAGACATTCGTGCGACCCCAGGGAAGTACACACTACAATGCGCCCGCGGAATCACAGGCACATGGTCCTAAAGCTCAAGAAATGTGGAGGCTCCGAGAAAAACATCGAAGCTCACTGATGCTTTACCTGACTGCCTGCACTGCGCCTTACATGGAACCGACGGGTGAGACTGGCGAACCAGCGAGAGCGGGGGGGCGGGGAAGGAGAGAGAGAGGTAGAGAGAGAGAGAGAGAGACAGGCAGACAGAGAGAGAGAGATAGAAGGAGAGAGGGAGAAAGAGAGAGAGAGAGAGAGAGATAAAGAGAGATCACGGGAGGCATGCGACGGTACTGTGGTCAACTTGCCATTGGTCCCAGAACTGTGACGACGTACTGGTCTCTGCCATCCTTCCGACTCTCTCCGGTGGCAACACGCCTCCTGCTCCTCACGCTCCTCCTCATCCTCCTTCTGCCTGTCCTCCGCCTTCCTCGTGCGCGCTGCTCGTGCTCGGGTCCTGGCCATGCAAGTGCCGCGCCTCTTGCTCTGACGCCTGCTTCTGCTGCTGCCGCTGCTGCTGCTGCTGCAAACGACATCGCGCACAGCCGCGTTGCGCAACCCCACAGGGTGCGGCGCGCCCCCCGCGCAACCCGCCCTGCACAGCCTGTGCGAACCCTGATGGTGGAGCTGGAAAGCAAGAATGCACGGGCTGTGTGGACCAGTAGTGTCAAAGGAGACAAGACCAAGGTAAGGAGAGACAGAGAGAGAGAGAGAGAGAAAGAGAGAGAGAGAGAGAGAGAAAGAGAAAGAGACGGAGACAGAGCGAGAAAGAAAGAGAGAACTAGTGTGAGAGAGAGAGGGAGACTTAAAAAAAAACTACTGCGGATGAAACAAACAGATGTCCGTACCTGGAAAATGAACGAACAATGTAAAGTGCGTGGGTACGTGACATGTTCTGTGATGTGTTGAGGCTTACTGCTTTGCCGCAGAGAATAGCAAGCGCAGCGGCAATGAATGTGAACGTGAAACGCCCCCTTTTATCAATCAAAAGACCTTCGTGAAGCGGTCGCCGCCCCAAATGGAAAATGACAACGCCGGCAACGCGGCTCATATTTCGAGTCACAACTTCCATGCGTGTTTCCCCGTCTCTGAATATGCTGACTTTATCACGCGAAAGGGGTCGGCCTAGACACGCTCCTGAACCGCAGGCCGCCTCCCAGAAGCTTGGGACGGCCCCGAGCTGAGCCCGAGGCTGCATGGGTCCGTGCCAGGCCGGGTCTCGAGCAGGTCTAAGACCGCCCCGACACGGCCCGAGGACTCGACTCAAAGCGATTTCGGGCAAGCCCCACAACTTTTTTTTATTGAAAGAATGTATACACTTCTCGATTTGTGCGTGTCATTCTTGCGCAGGGGCCATGCTAATCTTCTCTGTATCGTTCCAATTTTAACGGATGATCCCCGAAGGGAATCCAAGCCCCCACAACTCTGTTGGTTTGCGGCGCGCTGAATCCAACAAGGGGTCAAAGCAGACGGCGCGACGCAGCCGCTGCGTAGTGCGGCACACGGGGGCGCGGGCGGGCCCCGGGCGAGATAAAAAGGGGGACCGCGAGACGGCCAGCGAACCCTCAGATCGTGTTGGACCTTCCGGGTGTGCCTGGGAACAGGAGCCCCTCCTCCTCCTCCTCCTCCTCCTCCTCCTCCTCCTCCTCCTCCTCCTCCTCCTCCTCCTCCTCCTCCTCCCCCCCCAACGCGGTGCCAAGGAACCCCCAACGCGCCGCAAAAAGACGATCGAATGACCGCCGGGCTGCCCCGAGCAGGCCCCCCTCCCCGCCCCAGAAGAGGCCCTTCGAGAGGCCCCCGGAGTCCCCCAGGAGGCTCATGGAGTGCCCCAAGGTGAAGGGGAAGTGAGCGGGAGGCGGGGACGCATCCATGACCAGAGCCTGGGGGATCGACCTTCGGAGACCTCGACGGGCGGTGGATATGGAGGCTCGAATCTGTCCGTACCCACCACCTGCAGAAGTCCCCGAGGGTCGATCTGCTAGGCGGTGGTTGAGGACAAACCATTGCCTAGGAGATGGAAGCTCACGCTGCTTCTGCCAAAACGAACGAAATCAACTAGGAAACGACTCAGTGATTTAACGCTAATTTGGCTTACATTATGGACGGCCCACCATGGCCTCCATAACGCCCTGAGATGGCCTGCAGGCCGTCTCAGGAAGGTTCGCAATTGCCAAGGAAGCTTCCTGGGGAATTCAGATAGGGTGAGAAGCTCCAGACTGGTCCAGAACAGCACCAAGGCAGTCCCCAAAACAGGCCAAGCTGGCAACATGACGCCACCAGACGACACGAATGCGCCCCAAAAGGCCCAAAGGGTTCCCCCAAAAAAACCTCAAGGTTCCCTACGCAGATCCAGATCAACGCCAGGCCGTCGATTGGTCTGCAAGCCCACCAAGGAAGTCTCCGAGGCGCCCAGAAGAGGTAACGCCACCCCCATGACGCTTCTACAGCCATGCGCCGCAGCATGGCTGGTCGCGACGATGCTTTCCCAAGTGCTGTGGATACGTACGCATGGTATTACTACAAGTGAATGGGACGATGACTGTGTTCACAGGGACCAGACGGATGCAGAGGCCCTTCAACCTCCTCAGGCTCGTCCTCCTTGTCATCCTCCTCCTCCTCCTCCTCCTCCTCCTCCTGCTCCTCCTCCTCATCATCATCATCATCATCATCATCACCATCCTTCCTCACTGCAGACTTCCGCCTGATCCAGGGTGCCGAAGCTGGTGTCGCAGTACAGGAAAAACGCGAAGTCATCGACCCTGGCGCAGTGCAAGAAAGGTCGGCGTGCGCTGCTTGCGGGATCGGCGGGGGAGAACGGGGGAGACCCTGTGATCCCAGCGTCGCATTGTTCCCGCACCAGCCGAGCTCGCTGCGCTCGGGCCCCCGAGCCCTTCACGGATCGCTCTGGGACGAGAGACGCGCATAAAGACGGGGGCCCCTTTGCGATGTCCCACGATGTTGCACTTGTTGCGACGTCGGATGTAAGACCTCGAAGATGAAGATGGAGGATAATAATAATCAGAAAAATAAGAAAAAATAAGAAGAATAAAAATAATAAGAATAATAATAACAATAATAATAATAAAAATAAGAAGAAGAAGAAGAAAAATAATAATAAGAAAAAATAAGAAGAAGAATAATAATAATAATAATAATAATAATAATAAAAATAATAATAAGAAGAAGAAGAAGAAGAGAGAAGACCATTTCGTGCCCACGTTGGCCCAACCTGTCGTGCCCTTGGACAACAACGGCCCGGGCCACAGGAACGGACAAGGAACGGACAGGGCCACGAAGCTCAGCCCGCTGAAAAAATATCGTTGGGCGTGGCTTAATGGGGGGTCACAAATGGGGGGGTCAGAAACGGTCCCCTTTCGTGCCCCTTTCGGGCCCCTCCGGAGCCCCAGGGGGCTCGTTTAGGTACCGTTTGGGTACCTTTTCGGACCACTCTCGCCACCCCCCCATTTATGACCCCCCCATTACGCAACGCCCAATATCGGGACACCGGAAGCACCACCGGGAATCCGGAAGAACTGTGTTGAATCCTGACAATTCGCTCGGAACCACCCGGGGAATCCTGGGGGATCTCGTGGATGCCTCGGGGGCCCCACGGAACCCTCTGGGATCGGACTGCCTGGGCGCTGGGGCGAACGCGCCGCTGATCTAATAGAGCGAAACAATGCATAAACATACTTTCTCGGATGTCCGCGCGAGTTTCTTGGATCGAAGCTGGACCCCACTCCCTCCCTGGCGCGCGGAGCGCGTCAAGGGCGTCGCCGGCAACGTCGTCAGGGAGACCCAGCAACCTCATTGCCACCGGAAGATTATGCCCCGCAGAATTTTCTGTAATTCGATAGTGCGCCGCTGATGAGGCGCTGGTCGCATTTCCCTGGCGCGGGCGTCGGTGCCAGCGCAGTGGAGCCGATTGCCAGAAATCCGCAGCACTTGCCGTCCTCATGTAAGTACAACAGGCACCGGTCGCACGAGCCGGCGTCGTGCAGCTCGCGTACCACTGTAAGGGTGCATCGCCGAGGCTCTAGACACACACCTGGACCTTGAGGAACGAACGACTAGCAGCACCCGGGACACCGTCAGCGGGGAGCTCGCGGCACAAGGGTCCATACTTCGCTCGTACCGGTATCCGTTCAGTAAGGCGGGGCTGATTTCCCTGAGCTCGATGTCGAAAGCAATGAAAACATCCAGCTGCGTACCTACCATCCAGGCCCCTGGGATCCGGGAAACCATCGGCGAGTCGGTCTCCAGCTCCGTCAGGTCTGGGCCTTGGTCACCTCTTCCGACCCAGCGGCGCTTGGCGATTCGACATCCGTCCTTGCTCTTCCAGGTGTAGCAAAGAATGCTGGGCATTCTGCAGTCAAGAATCTCACTTTTGACTCGATCAGACTTGGGCGGCGGAGCGATCTCGCTGGCGCCGGCCGCCCGACTGTTGTTCCACTCCAATCCCCTCGCCTCGAATAGCTGATCTCGCTCCTGCTATAAGCCATGTTTTTTTCACGGATGCTCCCTTTCGCTTCGCCCCCTGTTTGACCGACAGGTACGCGTATCGACCGCTTGGAAGGCAAGGTCGGACATCTCCTCGTCGGGCATCATCCGGCGTCTCGTCAAACATTATCGGGGGCCACCATGCTCATCCAAAACTGGCCCAGGAGCGTAGGCCTCCTCGGCAGACTTCTTGGCGATCCACCTGCGCATGGGCACCTCGGGCCCTAGAGCTCGATTTTCCTGGCCCTCGTCCTCCTCCTCGTCGCCACCAGATGGCGAAACGTCGGGCAAGTCGGGCTGACGCCCAGGCTCTCCGCGTCTATCTGCTGCATCTCCCGCCGAGGGCTCTGCGCCAGGCTGAGCAGGTTCGCCGCTGCTCTGCCCCGAAAATGGGCGGCTCTCTCTGGTCCGAGATGTCCACCGTCAGGCGCTTGCGCTGCTGCCCTTTCGGCGCGCTGACGCATCCACTCTCTGCCACTCAACGGCCCGCCTGGACTTCCGCCTGGGCTGCCGCCCGCGCCTGCTTCCAGCTGCAGAAGATGACCCCTCGCTGGTTTGACAGGTAGGCCTTGCCTACAATGGCGGTGCTGATGACCGCCGCTAAGCCGCGACAATGCTTCCAGGCCTCTCGCTTGGGGCCACGCTGCCGCCGGAAGCGCGCCTTGTCGGCGAGCCCCCAACGGCCCCGATGAGGAATGCTCTTGTTGGTTTTGGCGCGGTCCTGGCAGTCGAGGCTGGACTCGCGGGCGCAGGCCCCGTCTGCTGCAAGCCGGAACCGCATCGTTCTTGCTCGGGCCTGGCGCCCAGCAGCGCGCCCGCACGCGGCATCCACGCTCGCGTCTTTGTCGCCTTCGAAGGAGCCCTCGGGCAAGAGGGCGCCGCGGCCGAGCGCGCGACATTCAGGACTCGCGGAGCAGCTGGCCGCGTCGAAGAACCCCGCTTGGTCCTCGGCGCTCAAGATCGTCGCCGTCAGGCGGATCTGGTAGTGCGTTCGCTTCCACAACTGGCCCGCCGTCTGCGTCTTGCCCCTCCAGTGTTATCGCCTTCCGCACCGACTGATTCCAGCGCGGCCCCTCCGGCCGGTGCTCCGCCCGCGAACGCGCCTCAGATGATGCCTCTCTCCTGGTCGCCGATGACCCGCTCGGATCTCCCGCGTTGCGACGTGCGGAATTGTCAGCAGGCGCGGCGCAGTGTCAGACCGTGGCGATCTGGGAGTCTGACGTCTGCGACGTTGATAGCGGGGGACGCGTCGCTCTTCGGCTGGCCCCAGTCGTCCCAGGTTGGGTCCACGAAAGGCATGTCCATGTCGACAGCGGGTTTGGACTCGGAGCGTTCTGGGTTGGGCAGTCCCCGCAGCGTCGTCGCGCGTGGTCGCTGCTCTCCGCGTCGCGCCCCTCGATTGCGGTCAGCAGGCCTCGGGCTCGCGTAGATTCGCCTTGCCATTGTAATCCAAGGCTCTTCTCCAGGTCGGGTACTCGAAGAATCGCGCATGGCCGTCGCGATGTCCCGCTCGCTCTTCGCGGTCTTCACGATCGCCTTCAATGGGTCCGGCGGGGAGATCTGGGGCCGCTACGAGATCTTCTGAAGATTGCCCGACTGGCCCCCCTGGCTTCTACAGACCGGGCGTCGAGCGCCTCCTCTGCAAGTCCTCGGCGTGCTCGAACGTCGTGGGAGCCGCCGTCGGCCTGGAGAGCAATGCGCTCCAGCGCGAGTCCTTGCTGGTCCACCGCGATCCGCCTCGCGACGGGGTGGCGCGTCAACCTGCGCATCTCTGCCAATCTCAACGAGGTCGCCCTTCGCGGGAGTTCCAAACGCAGCGCCCAGCTGTCCAATTCGCGCGGCGCACGGGGCCCGCGCGCGCTGCGGCACCCACGTGGCCAAGGGGGCCTTTTCTTGGACTTGTGGGGTTTATGGGGCTGGCGAGATTCGCGCGGCCCACGGGCCGCGCGCGGCCCATGGGAATCCTATAAAGTTCACTGGAGGAACTAGAGAAGGCCCGCGGTGCTCCCACGCGCGCAGGGCTGACATTCACCGAGGCGAGACACGCGAGCCCAAAATCATGGGCGACGGCATAGGCTCTGAACTTTTCTTTTCCAGGGGGGAGGGACCTTGGCGTCGGCGTCGGGCCCCGGCGCCCCGACTTGGAGCTAGTCGAAGCGGAGGGGCCGCTGCTGCCGAAGGCAGGCGGCGAGGGCGGGCCCTCGGACAGGCGGCCAATCTGGCTGCCGCCGATCTTGCGCCGGCCCTGGGCTGCAGGACGCGCGCGGCCCTTCGCGCGACGGCGCAGCGCGGCGCCGAGGGGCTCGCCTGGGGGTTGGCCCTGGGGCTGGAGGCCGCCGAGGCCCTCGGCGAGAGCATGGCTGGGGCGGCGCTGGACTGGCGGAGGGCCCACGACCGCATCGCCCTACGCTCCTTGCCCGGCTTGCTCGAGCGCGCCGGGGCGCCGCCGTGGATCGTCGGCCCGGCGGCGCACGCTTGCTCCGCTCGCAGAAAGGCCGCCGCTGCACTCGGCAATGCTTGGGAACCCACGTTCTCCCCGAGCGCGCTCGCGCTTCTGTGGCGCAAGCGAGCGGGGGAGATAGATGGCCCCCTGCGGCGCCGGATCCACGAGGATGATTTTACATTGCGGGCGCGACGCCCGGCGCGCGGCGCCGACGAGGCTGCGGAGTTCGCTCGGGAGGCACTGCGCGTGACGGACGCCTTCGAGCAGGCCGCGGGGTGGCGGCTCAACCGGGACAAAAGCCAGCAATTCGCCAACTCGGCCGCGGCGCGGCGCTGGTTTGCTGGGCAGACGCCGTCGGTGGCTGCAAGCACGGGCTTTGAGGACCTTGGGGTCGCCGCTACCGCCGGGCGCGCGCGCCGCTGCGACGTCGCGGCTGCGCGTGCGAAGCTGGCTTGCGACAGGTTTGCTCGCGTCGGCCGCCAGCCCGTGGACTTCCATCGGCGCGGCTTGCTCGGCGCAGCCGCTGTTGCGGCCGCTGGCATGCGCGGCGCGTCATGCGGGCTGCCCCCGGCATGCGGTCTGCCAAGGCGGTTTCCGCGCTGCCGCCGAATTAGTGTTCGGCGTGCTCAGTCCCAGCTGGCGCCTCGACCCGGCGGCCGCGGCGGTCATCGCGCCGCTGTGGCGGTTTGCGAAGGCAGCGCGGCGCGGGCGTTTCCCTCCTGGGCCCCGGGGGGCCGCGCAAGACGCCATCGCCGCCGGGCACGGTCGTGGCCAGGGCCCTCTCGCGGCAGCGTCGCGCAGCATGACTGAATCTCAGATGGGGCCCGACGTGGAACGATGGGGGGGCGTGCCGTCGGCGCCTACAAGGCGGCGACCAGCTGAGCGCCCGCTGCAGCCCACGCGAGCTGTGCTGCTCGAGGCTTGGGGGCGCGCCGGAACCCGCACGGTCGCCGCCAGGCGCGCCGACTCCGCGCGCGTCGGCGAGGGCATCGACCGATGTCCCACGCGGCGCCTGCTGGATAGCGACCGGCTCGCCCCAGATGCCGCGGGCGCGCTCCAGGCGGTGCTGGCCAGCAGCGTGGTCACGGAGTCGGTGGCGGCCAAGCGGGGGGAGCCTGCGCGATGCCCGCACTGTGGAGCTGCGCGGGAGGGCCGTCCGCACCGATTCTGGGAGTGCCCCTGCTGGTCGGCCACGCGGCAGGCAACGCTCGCCGCCTCAGGGCACTCGGCCCCTGCCCTCATGGCCTGCCTGCCGCATGGCGTCGCGAACTCTGGTGCCCTCCCCACAAGACCCTTTGCTGGCGGCGCTCGCCGTTGCCGCCAGCGCGTCGCTGCCCGTTCCCGCGCTGCCAGCGCCCGCGATGCCCCCAAAACCGCCGCAGCGCTGCCGGGTCTGGGCGGACGGAGCGTGCGAGCACCCGCAGGACTCGGGTTGACCCAAAAGGAGGTCCAGCGACAAGGGGGTGGTGCAATAGATTTGGTGCAACAGATTTTTGGAGATGCGATACATTCGGGGCGTGCAATACATTCTGGGGCGAGATGTATTGCTGGATTTTCGCGTGCAACGCATTACTTACAACACAATGCAATACAATTCTCCGGCGCAGTGAGTTTACAACACCAGTGCCCCAAACCCAAATCCATCGCACCACCCCCTTTCAGCTGGATTCCCTTCTGGGTCACCGAAAAGGACCCATTGCTACCCCGCGCAAGATGGGGCTTGCGGCTGGAAAACCCCGGCCTGCCCTTCGACGACCGCGCTGGGCCCGTCGACGGTGAGCTGACGGCGCAGCGGGCCGAGAGCCGAGGTGACTGCAGCGCTACACCCCGTCAGCGCGGCGGGCCGCCCGGTGGAGATCGTCACCGATTCGCAGTGCGGTCAGAATTGTGTGATGGCCCTCCGTGATGGCGCGTCGCCGCGGGAGTGGCAGTACGCACACCTCTGGGCCTTGCTCGCGCCACACTGCCAATCTGGGTTCGCTACCGCGCGGTGGGGAAAGGCGCACCTCGACGAGGAGGCGGCGGCGGGGCGCGGCATCTCCGAGGAGGACCGGTTCGGGAACGAGGCTGCTGATCGTCTGGCGGGCGCCGCAGCGACCGCCCGCATGCCCGCGGCAACCTTTCGGCAGGGGCGGGCTGTCCGGCTGGCTGCGCTCACGGCGCTGCAAACCACGTTGACAGCAGTAGAGCTCGAGGCCCTGAATGCCAACCATGGGGGCCACGGGCCAGGCGGCCCCCGCGTCCGCAGGCGGTGGGCAGTGCCCGGGCCCAGGCGACGGCAGCCCCAGGAGGCGGACGACGCGGTCGTGGCCGCTGCCGTACGCGCCGCGCCGCGCGGCTCGCGGCGCGCAGCGGTTGGGCGCAGCCGCAGCGGCGCGGGCGCTCTACGCTGGCGGCGGCTGGCGCGCCCACGTGGCCTCCCAAAGCCCTGGCTGGGTGGCAGGCCTGCGCTGCGGGTGCTGGGCGCCGCGGTGAGAGCGCCTCGCGAGCCGGCCCTGCGGCGGGCGCGTCCCTGACGCTGAGTGGCGCGCGGCCTTGCAGGCGCACCTGCCAGTTGGCGCGTCGGCGCCCGTGGCCTCGCTGTTTCCCCCCCTTCCCCCTCTTCCTCTCTCTCTCTCTCTCTCTGCCTCGGCCGCTGGGCTTCGAATGGATGTCGAAAAGTGTCGACAGCACGTCGCTCCGTTCCGCCAGGCGGGACGCTCAGAAAGGCTCAGGACAGTGACGTCTCGGGGCAGAGAAAAAGATAGCGCGTCGCTCCAAAGCGCGGTGGGCCAGAATCGGCGGAGCAACACGCCATCAAAAACTCCCGACCGTAACAGATCGTCCCCCCATCCCCCAGGACCAATAGCCAACAACATTCACCAAGGGAATGACCCGCCAGCAAGTTGTGTGCTGCAGGGTGAGGACACGGAAGTGGAACTCGGAATAAGAAAAAGGCACGGTCATCCCTCTGGCATTTGCCCGATGAGATCCTGGAGGTTCCCCTCGCGTCGTCTGAGGAGGAGTGGAAAAGTGAAGGATGATGATGAGAAGGAGGGTGAGTATCGTTTAAGCGATCCCCATGCCCAGCGGCGTGGCCTGGGCCCCACTGGCCGATTTACCCCCCTAGATGGGGATATAGGCTGTTCCCTTCGAGCTTCGAGGGGTGTATCCCCAACTGGGGTGGTAATTTGGTGGGGGTCTCGAAGGGGATGGGGATGAGGACGGGGATTGTTTAAACGATACCGGGAGGAGGAGAATGAGGAAGAAGCGGGGAGCGGGGACCGAGGATTTGTGGACTTGGGATCCTGGATGACTATGGCGGGCACTCGTCGAGTTTCCTCCTCCTGGCCCTTTTGCTCCTCCTCGTGCTCCTCCTCGTGCTCCTACTCGCTCATCCTCATCCTCCTGCATCCTCCTCCTCCTCCTCCTCCTCCTCCTCCTTCCCTCCTCCTCCTTCTCCTCCTCCTCCTCCTCCACATGCTTCGTGTCTCCTGCCCCTCATTCGTCTCTTCACTCCTCCCACCCATCCCTCTCCTTCTCGTACGCCCTTGTGCCCCCCCCAACTCCTCATCCTCCGAGTTCCCACCCCCCCGCCACCCCGCATCGTCATCTTTCCCACCCCCCTGCTTCCCCACCTTGTTCTCCTACTCATCCTCTCTTCCTCTCTTCCACCCACCCCACCCCACCTCACCCCTGGCCCCATCCTTCGGAAGCAACTCGTGGGAGGTCTTCGTAAGCCCGATCAAGGGGCCGCTGCACCAGACTAGCCCGGATCAGGCCCATGATTAAACCAGATTCAACACGGGTCAAGCCGGATTTTGCAGGATTGGATTGGTTTCCGACCGCAGGATGTCGCAGCGTCGACTCTGATACAACCTCCGAGGAATTACATCCTGACCGCCATCCCTCCCTTCTTGCCGCAACGGCCTAGGGCCCTCCACGAACGCAATGTCGGTCTTCGTGGTCGCGGTCACAGAGGTCGTCTGGGGGGCGGCGTCTTTTCCCATGGGAGGCGGGGAGCCCGCTGGCGAGCCTGGATCCCCGCCTCCCCAGCCCCAGCGCAGGGGACGAGGTAAGACAAAGCCCGTTGGATAATTCGGACTTCTCACGAGCAGTCGCCCACATGCTGCAACATTGGCAATTTTCTTGGGCGGTGGAATTCTTTACGATAGCGACGCGACGGCTGTCACCCCCCGGCCCTGAGCCTCGTAGCCAGACATACGATGTCTCGTTTTTGTTCGATGCGGGGCCCCTGGAAATCCTGGCCGTTTCCCCCGAGCAGGTCGATCATCCCGAATGATTGTCTGACGGTCCCGAAGTATGGCGAGGGCCCTCTGAGGCCGAACATTGCCAAAAGCCTATTTTGTTTTGTTCACGACGTGAGCATGTCTGACCCTATACCCCACCTTCCCGAGCTCCCTCGCTCCTGGGCCCAAGCGTCGGCGGGCGACTTCTTGGCGGCTCCAGGGGGAGCTCCGGGACCCCTCCGTCAGAGAGGGGGCAGCGAGCGAGCGCGTTTCCAACCCAGCCGGGCGCCTGAGGAGGGCGAGAGACGAGGAGGATCAGCGTGCCCTAACGACCTCGCGGCGTGAATGTGTCGCTCGTTTCGGCTTCCGGTGGCCCTTTTACCGGGCCTCGGAGCCGTCAAATACCGACTTAGGATGAAAAGCTGGTCTTCGGGAAGGGGTCCACGTCATGAACAAAAATGCGACGTCGGGGTCTGGGTGCAGGTCCACCCCTGCTCACAGCCAAGAGGCCAAGCAGGAAGGAAGGCAGAACAGGGGTTGGGCTGCGCTTCGACAGGTGCGGGTCCTGCTGCCCGCTCGGGCTGCGCAGGGAGAGACGACGAAGGGGAGGGGGCGGAAGAAACTCGAGGAGAGGGAAGAAAAGGAGACCAAGATCAGAGCGAGGGGGCCGAACGGTCATTCATTGTCCCTGGGTGCGTGGCTCTAGCGCGGGTCCGTGATGAGGATTCTGCTTGTTGCGTTGTTGTTGTTGTTGTTGTTGTTGAACATTATTTATTCTAAAGAATAATTATTGTTGGGCCCCCTGGTGCGCGCCCCCCCTGCGCCGCCTAGGCCGCAGCTACATTTTCATTATTTTCGTGAGGAAGCCTCGGAAAAGAGGGTGTGTACAGGATCCGGTTGTTTTGTTGTAATCCGCTTTCCCTTGCAAAAAACAATAGAAAATGACATTTCTTGTTCTAATATAATCAAATTTCAAGAATCCCTTGCAAAAAATAAGGTAAAGTGGACATTCGCGCGCGCAAGACGAAATCCTTCCAAAACCTTAGTGTTCGCAGCGATTTTAACATAAAAACATCAAAAAACCAATGGTTTTTCAACAAAAAATGTCAAAATCTCATCCCGCGCGCTCTTGCGGATTCGTAGGAAACCCAACACTTTTTAAACATTTCTGTCAAACGGGCTTTTGCGAGCAACTTTTTCGAACTTCTGCAACAACGGTTGCGCACCTGCCAGGGCCATCATCCCTGTCAAATAATACCATGCGGGACACATTCGTTTTTTCTTCGCGCGCGCACGCCGTCGTCGTCGGCCGCGGGGCCCTGAATAGTAGCCACGGTCGTCCGCATGCCACGAAGTGAAGTGTCCGAACGTCATAGGGCGGGAAGCTGGGTGTGGGTGGTGGCGAAGAGTCGTTTGGAAATTTGGTAGAGCTTGAACCGGCCCCCCCACAAAGTGGGGGTATTGCCCGCCTCCTATGAAAACCCTGGCACTGGTGAGAACGGAGTGTCCCCACGTGCTAGTAATTGTTGCTGTTGTTGTTGTTGTTGTTGTGGAATTCTCATGTCTGAAGAATAATTATTGCTGATCCCCCCTCACCGGTGCATGCTGATTTTTTCTTAATCAAAATGTACCCCTCGATGCTCGCACCTTGTTTTTTGTCAGGGAACGTCTCGGTGCTCAAACTATGCCCCTGGCCGCCCGGATTACAACAACAACGGCTCCCGCTTGAGACTTCCTCCAAATTTACTCAGGACCCCAGCTCCCATCTGAGACTTCCTCACAATTTACTCAGGAACGGCGCTCCCGCTTGAGACTTCCTCGCGATTGAATCAATACTCCCTCGCAATCCCACCAGCCCTCTGGGCGTCGGTGGTTTAGGGCGTTTGCTCTTCCACCCCGCCCTCTTCCCCTTCGGGGAAGGGTTTACCGCTCCCCCTACACCCCCCCCCCCGTGGACCTGGACGGGAGGGGCGGGGAGTTGTCAGGGCGTCCAAAACGGCCTCGGCGAGGAAACCAAACTCATTGATTTTACCACGGTTTTGGCCCCATTTTGGCCTCCTGAGGAGGCAACCCTAATTGAACCCCCCTCTCTTCTTTGATCGATGTTCTCCAAGATGGCCCCAAGAAGCGCCCAGGAGGCCCCAAGAGGCCCCAAGACGGCCCCAAGAGGCCCCAAAAAGCCCCCAGGAGGCCCCCAAGAGGATCCCAAGCGGCCCAAAGAGGCCCCCCCGAGGCACCCAAGACGCCGAAAAGCCCCTCAGGACGACCCTCTACTCGCCTGGGCGTCGTTTCTGGATGGGCTGGAGGGGATACTTCTTTTGTCAGCGGCCGCGGGCGAGCGCGCCGGCGGCGAGTCCAGTCAAAGCGGGGCGCGCAGCAACGAATTAGCCTAAGGCGATGGAGCGAGGCTACACCTACAGCGGCAAACCGAGCCCTAACGCAGCAGCCCAGCGGCGGACCAGCGGGTGGGGGGGCAGCTGGAGCGGACTCGAACTGCCAGCGCGCAAGTATGCAAAGCGTCGGACACCAAGGAGCCGGGACACACGACGACCCGGGCTGGTGGGGATACTTTTTTCGGTCGCGTCCGCTAGCGAAGTCGCTTGCGGAGTCAGAAGCGCTGCGGGTCACGAGCTGGCGGGGGTACTTTTTTGGTCGGCGGCTCCGAGGCAACGGACAGGGAGCGGAAGCGGCGTCTGGGTCACGGTGCGGGGCTAATTTGCAAACCTGGCCGCCAGAGTCGGCGGACAAAGCCCGCGCCTGCAAGATTACACGCGGTGCGTGGAGTGCACATGTACTGAGCAAAAAGCTCCGCATTAAGACAAACGCACATGGGCGCCGGCCACGCCGAAGTGAAGCAGACAGCATTGCGGGTGCAACGGAGAAGTCGCCCTGTCGGCGCCAAGATCCGAGCAGCTCCCGTTGCCGAAGGCGGATGGGAGAACCGAACATACAACGCTGAAGGCTGAACCACTCAACGCGAAGTCCGTACCACCGCCGCGCGCGGGGTCGGCGGAGACAGGGGCAGAGAACGGCAAGGACCTACAGAGCACTCGCTCCACGATCCACGCCGCTGCCTGGGGGGGGGGGCGGTGCGTCAGTCATCGTATCCGAAACCAGTGACAGGCCAGGGAAGCAACGATGAGAGAGGACACGGGCCCAAGTGCCGGCACACTGCCGCCTTGCAGATTTCGGCCGCGAATCTCGCCGAGGTACGCTGCAGCCGCGACTGCTCATGGAGCGCTGGAGCGCAGTCAGGGCTGAATCTGACCACAGAGTGGGCAGAGGAACGGCAGGCACCGACAGAGCACTCGCTCCATGGACCACGCCGCTGCCCGGGGGGGGGGCCGGCGCGTCGTTCATCGTATCCGAAACCAGTGACTGGCCGGGGCTGCAACGATGAGAGAGGACACGCTGGCCCAAGGGCCGGCACACTGCAACCTCGCAGGTAGCGGACCTTCCACATGCGGTGGAAGGGGGGCGCAGCCAACAGCCGCAATGTACGCATGTCTGGGTAGCAGCTCGCACAGAGCATAGGACGAGGGGGGTTGCCCACACTGCAGCCACAGACCAGGGCCCGGTGGCTTTCAAGACGCAGCGAGCACGGGGGGGAGGCGATGAAAGGCCCTTGGCAGCCAGAGAGGGGATGCAAAGGGTGCCTTGACCCTCCGCGGGAGGCCCCGGGCCAGAGGGACAGCAGCCCCCGCGAGCGTCCAGGGCCGGTAGGCCCGGAGGCATCCCTCCCGCAGGCCGCGATAAGCAAGGCCGCGACGGGCCTGCTGCCAGAGATCCCCTTCCGCGCGCCTGACCCCCACAAGTGCGATGCCGATGCAAAGTGCGAGCCGGCCGAATGCGCCTGCGAGAACCCCATCTATGATAGGACATCCAAGAATCTTGACAGCAGCTGCGCGCCGAGAACAACTTCGCATGATGGGGGGCGCAGCGAACCGTCGCGAGACACGCTCTCTCTCATGGGGAAGGGGGGCGCAGCCAACAGCCGCAGAGTATGCACTTCCTTTCGCGCTGAGTGCGCCAGCGTCGGAGGCGCCACCTGGGGGGGGGCACCTGCGCCTCCGGCCGGGGGGGGCGAAGGATGCGCCCCTTTCGCAGGCCGCGTCTTGCAGGGCAGCAACGGGCCTGCAGCCAGTGACCATCCTCACCATCCTCCACGCACCAGTCCCCCGCGCGCGCGATGCCACGAGGGGGGGCAGGAAAGGCCGCTGTGGGGAGACGGCCCACCACTGTCTTTTGCGCTTCTTGGGGGCCTGGCTGTCCGGGGGGCCCCTTGCCGCGCGGTGGTCACTGCTCGCTCCGCCGCTTCGACCCAGGCGCAGCTGCCGCAGCCGAGCCCAGTCGACGACGAGGCCCAGCGCGTCACCGACAACCCGTGCGTCGCACTTGTGGCCGCGGCAGGATTCCAGGAAAAGGTGGCAGGTTTGCGGGTCGCGCCGAAGCGGGTCGAGCGCGCCCTTGCTCCCTGGCGCAGCCTGCCGCTTGGCGAAAGCGTGCCAGGTGCCAGTGAACATTGGCCCCAGTGTGACTTGGAGTCGTCTTATCGCCTCACCGGGTGCCACCCCGGGGAGGCACCGCTGGATGTCGTTGATTTTTGTTTTGCGCAGCTGCTGTCCCGTGTCGGGTTCCTTGGGCTCTGGCCATTGGCGCGGGTCAGGCCATTGGTGCTGCCGTGCATCCTGGCCGCGCGTCTCCAGCGCGCCGGCCTCGTTGTCCTGGCCGGAGGG